ACCATCAAATTCTTTATCACTTCTCAAATTATCTTCTCCCTCCCCAAAATCAAATCAAAAGTACTTTTTTTTCTAAGATTTTATTTATTTTTTAAGAAAACTCTACACCCAACATAGGGCTCAAACTCACAACCTTGAGATCAAGAGTCGCAGGCTCTACCAAGTGAGCCAGCCAGGCGCCCCTCAAACACACTCTTTAAGCTTTCCATCTTCCCCTTCCCTTTCTGAGCAATACAATCCAAACACATTAAGTGGAGCCAGGCACTTAGATATCTATTAGCAGACATCTACTCTGGGTGGGGCATCAAAATGGCCCAGAGCAGTTTCAGAGCCCATTTGGGATGAAGACGATGGTGACCACACAGGGAGTAGTGGCCAGTCACACAGCGGTGGCACAAACGGGTGAGAAGAGCATCCACACAGAAGGGAGGGGGAGACGAACCATGAGTGACTATGGACTCTGAGAAACAAACTGAGGGTTCTAGATGGGTTAGCCTGGTGATGGGTATTAAAGAGAGCACGTATTGAATGGAGCACTGGGTGTTATACACAAACAATGAATCATGGAACACTACATCAAAAACTAATGATGTAATGTATGGGGATTAACATAATAAAATTAAATTTAAAAAAAGAAGAAGAAGAAGGGCAGCCTGACATGGAGGTACAAAGTGGGTTGAGGAGGGCATCTCAGTGGACAGGCAGCCTGGCATAGGGTGTTAATACCTAAGCAGGGTTAAGACTGTAAACATGGGAGGGTAGCCAAGTGCAGGGTATCAGAGCCCAAGAGGAATAAGCAAGGAAATCCACATGGAAGTAGAGCCCAACACCGGATATTTGACACTGAGCAGGGTAAGGAAAGTGTCCACAAGGGAAGGTGGCCTGGCATAGAGTATAGGAGCCCAAGCAAGAACATCTCCACAAAGGCGTGGCCTAGCATGGGAAACCTGTGCTTGGTGAGGTGGGTGCCGATGTGGGAGGGCATCCAATGTGTAAGAAGGGAGCCCAACAAGAGGTGTCAGAACCCAAGCAGGATGTAGAGAGCATTTGTATGGAAGTATGGCCGGCAAAGACGTTGGAACTGAGCAGAGTGAAGAGGACCTCCATGCACAGGGGTGACCTGGAGTGTGGAGTTAGAGCCCAAGTAAGATGAGGAGGGTGTTCTCAGAGGAAGTTAGCCTCACATACGGTGTCAAAGCCAGAGCAGGGTAGGAAGGTGCCTTCTTGATGAGGATGACGCTGGAGCCCCCAGGGGGCAGAGGGCAAGCACAGGGAGCCTGAGCTGGGTGAGGAATGCACTTACATAGAAGGGTAACCTGGCATGAGAATTTTGAGCTCAGGTATGGTGAGAAGGGTTTTTGCACAGTGAGGCAGCCTGGTGTTGGTGTCAGAATAAAGCAGGGTGAGGAGCGCAGTCACAAGAGGGAAGGAATGGCAGCTGTGAGATCAGATGCAAACAGGAGGACCAATTAAGTAACTATATATTTATTTATGATAATGGGAGCCTAGCTTCTCACTATGAAAGGAAACCACAAACATGGAAAGGAAAAAAAAAATGAGAATAAACCCTGTAGTGCTGGATTGAAATTGAAGGTAAATACATGTATATACATATGCAAGTACATGCACCCATGCGCGCGTGCACACACACACACACGCACGCACACACACACACACTCACCCAATCCTTGGCCCTATCTACCAATAGGGTCTAGGGATAGTGACATTCCCAAAAGCAATGAGTACACCTAGCACCCAAATCTCGATTTCTAAATACCATTCTTCACTAAAAGGAACCAGAGGTCCTCACTGAAATGATTAATTTTAGGCTGGGTCAGGAAAAGTACAAGAATGCCTAGTAATCAAAGAATGATGAAGACCTGGGCGCCTGGGTGGCTCAGTTAGTTAGGCGACTGCCTTCGGCTCAGGTCATGATCCTGGAGTCCCGGGATCGAGTCCCGCATCGGGCTCCCTGCTCGGCGGGGAGTCTGCTTCTCCCTCTGACCTTCCTGCCTCTCATGTGCTCTCTCTCTCACTCTCTCAAATAAATGAATAAATAAAATCTTTAAAAAAAAAAAAAAAGAATGATGAAGACCTATCAAAAGATAGGATTCTGGCTTGAAAGGTAACCTACTGGCCAAATTTGGGACAATTTGAGCAATAAAATAAACAATATCAAAATATAACATACTAAATAAAATAGGAAACCCCCAATCTATACTAACTAATAAATGAATAAATTGAAACTCTGATAAGGAGAGGGTATTTGCACAGTCTCAAAGTACCTCCCCATAAAATAGTTATTACAAAGAGGGAAAAAAGTAACTTCATGAATAAATTCAGCAGGTACCTCTTGAAGTGATCTGGTTAACATCATTAGTAATGGGATACAGCTAATGGAAATATCATGTACTTTATAAGCTGCAAAGAAAAGAATACAGTATCACTTCTGTGATATTCCTGCCAACATTGCATAAACTGAATCCAGCTAAAGAAACATCAAACAAAATCAAACTGAGAGATATGCTAAAAATAACTGGCCTATGATCTTCAGAAATGGTAAGTTACCAAAGTTAAGGAAATGCTGAGGAAGTGTTCCAAGCTGAAGACTAAAGGGACATGACAACTAAATCTAACAGTTGATTCTGGGCTGGATCCTTTTGCTATATGGGACATTGAGACAACAGGCATATTGAATGGGGTCTGAGAACTACATGGTAACAATGTCATCAGTGTTTGTTTCCTGATTTTTATGGTTATATTGTGCTTCAGAAGGAGCGTGTCATTTATAGGAAAAATACACTGAAGTATTACAGGGCAAAGGGGCATCATATGGACAACTTAGTATCATATAGTCCAAGGAAGTCTTCATAGTATACTTGTAACCTTTCTGCAAATCTGAGATTGTTTTAAAATGTAAAAATTCTTTAAAAATTACTCTTCAAAAGACAGGAGCAATGGATGAACCTTGAAGACATTATGCTAAATAAAATAAGCCAGACACAAAAGAACAAATACTATGTGATTCCACCTATACAAGGCACTTAGAACAGGCAAATTCAAATATAGAAAGTAGAATAGAAATAGACTGGGGGTAGGACGAATGGGGAGTTATTGCTTAATGGGTTTGGAGTTTCTATTTGGAATGATGAAAAAGTTCTGGAAATGATAGTGGTATGGTTCCACAATACTGAATGTGTTTAAAGCCATTGAAGAGTACACCTAAAAATGGTTAAAATGGTTAATTTTATGTCATGTATATTTTACCAGATTAAAAAAGTGGGGAAAAAAAGGTTTTCAAATACTCAATAAGTGTTTTTATAAGATGTAACAATATTCATGTCAAAATTATAGTTGTAAACAATTAGAAACTAGTTTAAATATCCTACAATAAAGGAATTATAAAAACTTTAAGAAATGTATACACTGCTTCCAGTGGCAGGGTTGGGGGAAGGGGCAGCAGGTACCACGTCCAGCCGCAAAGCCCCTGAAGCAGCCCAAGAAGCAGGCCAAGCAGATGGACGAGGAAGATAAGGCATCCAAGCAGAAACAGACAGAAAAGCAGAAGAAACTCGAGGAGCTAAAAGTGAAGGCCATGGGGAAGGGCCCCTGGCCACAGGTGGAATTAAGAAATCTGGCAAAAAGTAAGCTGTTCCTTGTGCCGGAGGCAATGATGATCCTTAATTCCATTCTTGTTTAAACATCTGGATTCCCTGTCATAGCATCTATTGTTACCTATAGCTGAAATGAAGTGTTGTCTTAGATCCTGTTGTATAATTAAGAATAAATTTTTATAAAAAAATAATCAATCATAAAAAAAGAAATGTATACAAATATTTTATATAACAATACAGCATTTAAAATAGAATGAAGTGCATCATCCTCGGTTTTTTTGGGATTTTTTCCAAGATTTTATTTATTTATTTCACAGAGAAAGAGAGAAGGTGTGCACAAGCAGGGGGGAGCTGCAAGCAGAGGGAGAGGGAGAAGTAGGCCTCCCGCTGAGCAAGGAGCCCGATGTGGGGCTCAATCCCAGGACCCTGGGATCATGACCGGAGCCGAAGGCAGATGCTTAATCAACTGAGCCACCCAGGTGCCCCATCTTCCTTGTTTTAAAATAAAACTTTTTCGGGGCGCCTGGGTGGCTCAGTCATTGGGCGTCTGCCTTCGGCTCAGGTCCTGATCCCAGGGTCCTGAGATCAAGCCCCTCATCGGGCTCCCTGCTCAGCGGGAAGCCCGCTTCTCCCTCTCCCACTCTCCCTGCTTGTGTTCCCTCTCTCGCTGTGTCTCTCTCTGTCAAATAAATAAATAAAATCTTTAAAAAAAATAAAATAGAGTAAAATAAAATAAAACTTTTTTTTTTTTTAAGTAGGCTCCATGCCCAGCATGGAGCCCAACGTGGGACTTGAACTCATGACCCTGAGATCAAGACCTGAGCTGATATCAAGAGTCAGATGCCCAACCAACTGAGCCACCCAGGTGCCCCTAAAATAAAACATTTAAAATAATTGAAGTATAAACAATTAAGAGTGGCTATTTCTCTTAGGTGGGCTTACACATGATTATTCTTGCTTTCTTTATATTTCAAATCTTTATAAGAAATACGGTTTACTGGGGTGCCTGGGTGGCTCAGTCGTTTAAGTGCCTGCCTTCAGCTCAGGTCATGATCCCAGGGTCCTGGTATCGAGCCCTGCATCAGGCTCCCTGCTCAGTGAGGAGCCTGATTCTTCCTCTCCCTCTGCCTGCCACGCCCCCTGCTTGTGCTCTTTATGTGTCAAATAAATAAATAAAATCTAGGGATGCCTGGGTGGCTCAGTCGGTTAAGCATCTGCCTTTGGCTCAGGTCATGGTCCCAGGGTCCTGGGATCGAGTTCCACATCAGGCTCCTTGTTCAGCGGAGAGCCTGCTTCTCCCTCTCCCTCTGCCACTCCCCCTGCTTGTGCTCTCTTGCTCTCTCTGACAAATAAATAAATAAATAAAATCTTTAAATAAACAAATACGTGCAGCCAATTAAGCTGACTGTGCTCCTTCTCCATGGGGGCCCAGTGTGCCATGGCTGCAAATAGTATCCTCCTTGGTAGTGTATGCAACCTGTTAATTGTATGGGTTGTCCTAAGGGACCTTGGAGACAGTCCTTTCCAGTGGACACTGAGGTCTGACGTCATGCTATCTCCAATCTAGGCTGCAGACAGGCATGCGGGGTGCCTTTGGAAAGCCCCAGGGCACAGCAGCCAGGGTCCACATTGGCCAAGTCATCATGTCCATCTATACCAAGCCGCAGAACAAGGAGCATGTGACTGAGACCCTACACAGGGCCAAGTTCAAGTTCCCTGGTCGCCAGAAGATCCACATCTCCAAGAAGTGGGGTTTTACTAAGTTTAATGCAGACGAATCTGAAGACATGGTGGCTGAAAAGCGGTTTATCCCAGATGGCTGTGGGGTCAAATACATCCGCAATTGTGGCCCCTTGGACAAATGGAGGGCTCTGCACTCATGAGAACCTTGGCACTGCCCCCTCCCTATTCATACCCACGAATAAATCCCACTTCCTGTCAAAAACAAAAAAATAAACAAATAAATAAAATCTTTTAAAAAAGAAATATGATTTATACTTAGGAAAAGTTTAAAATTATAAAACTAGGGGCACCTGGGTGGCTCAGTACCTTAAGTGCCTGCCTTTGGCTCAGATCATGATCCCAGGGTCCTGGGCTTGAGCCCTACATCAGGCTCCCTGCTCTCGGGGAGCCTGCTTCTCCCTCTCCTCCCCACTTGTGCTCTCTCTTGCTATCTCTTTCTCTCTCTCAAATAAAAATCTTTAAAAAAATAAATAAAATAAAACAAGATAAAATAGGAAAACTAAGGAAACCCAAAAAGTATATTTGCTTGTCTATAATCTTGTGATCATTTTTTGGTTGTTGGGTTTTCGATATTTGTTACTGCAGTAAAACAGAAAAACTGTAACAAGCAAACTAAATCAAAATTCCTAAATTTATCAAGGCTAGCTATCCCTTCACATCTGAAAATAAAGTCCTATATATTTGGGTTGGTAAAAGATGGAGAATATTTGACAAGGTGAAGATCACCTCATTTTCCTTAACATGGTACCTCTCAAACTCTGCTCACAATAAAACCATCAAATCTCAGTTCCAACTATACGACAAATTAAGCGTGTGTTCCGATGTAAGTCTGCGTGCAGCTACGCAAAGCTCCCCATCACAAAGCCACGGCAACATCAGACAGCTCACCTCAAATGGGTTCAAATTGAAGTAGGAAGAACCAGGACGGGTCAATCTTTCAATCTGATTTTTGGATGTTAGAACTGAATCTCTCTTCTCTATTTGTTTCACCTAAAATGAAGGGAGATAAAAACTTCATTAGTAAAGTTCAATAATAAACTCTGAATTGTCACCTTAACAAGCTACTGACATGTTCAGCAAACATTTGTCTACATGTGGAAGACAGTTGCCAAATGCTTTGGGAATAACTACAATAGTTATCATTTACTGAATTCTAATAATGTAAAAACTTTACATATATTTGTTCCTCCCAACTATCCTATACAAAAGACGTTACTATTATTCCCATTTCACAGATAAGAAAACTGGGACTTAGAGAGGTTAACTGACTTGTTCCCAACTACCCAACTTGTAAACAAGAATTTAACTCTAACAGTTTGAGGAATCAAAAACATTCAAACAGGGGCGCCTGGGTGGCTTAGTCAGTTAAGCGGCTGCCTTCGGCTCAGGTCATGATCCCAGGGTCCTGGGATCGAGTCCTGCAACAGGCTCCCTGCTTGGCGGGAAGCCTGCTTCTCCCTCTCCCTCTGCCTGCCACTCTACCTACTTGTGCTCTCTTTCTGTCAAATAAATAAATAAAATCTTTAAAAAGAACATTCAAACATAAATATATCACAGCCACCACTTTGGAAGAGCTTCCACTGTAATGATGGAAGACGTACCTGTGCTGTTCATACTTAATTTACAATTTTTTATTTAAGAAAAAGACAATTATACTGAAATATATGCTAAAAACAGCATTAAAAAAGTATATGGGAGGGGCAAGTAAATCTGCCTACCTAACTCGAATAGAGTTAGAAAAATCCCTGGCCCAGGGGCTCAGTATGTTGGGCACCTGATTTTTTTTTTTTTTAAACATTTTATTTATTTATTTGACAGAGAGAGACACAGCGAAAGAGGGAATACAAGCAGGGGGAATGGGAGAGGGAGAAGCAGGCTTCCCGCGGAGCAGGGAGCCCGATGCGGGGCTCGATCCCAGGACCCTGGGATCATGACCTGAGCGGAAGGCAAACGCTTAACAACTGAGCCACCCAGGCGCCCCGGGCACCTGACTCTTGATTTCCACTCCGGTCATGATCTCAGGGTCCTGAGATTGAGCCCTGCATTCCGCTCTGCACTCAGTGCGGAGTCTGCTTGGGATTCTTTGTCTTCCTCTTTCTCTGCCCCTCCCCCACCCAAATAAATAAATAAAATCTTAAAAGAAGGAAAGGGAAGGGAAGGGGAAGGAAAAGAAAAAGTAAAGAAAAACCCCTGACCCAAAGACAATGCTAAGGAGAACAGGCACCAGGCAATGCCTGGAAAACATCCTTGGTGCCACTGTCAGAACTGTAATACTAGCTGAAATGAATCACTGGTATGTTATATACCACCTTTATTCCTATGACCAAAAGGAGTTTGGAAATAATTTCAGTAACATAAAAAGCCATTCCTTCTCAGTATCTCCCCTCTTCACTTTCTTTAAAATAGCACGCCACTCCCCACCCCCTATACTCTACCTTCTTTCCCAGACTTACTTTCCCTCATTGCACTTATCACTACCTGACACTATATTGTACATGTTTGTTTACTGCTTATCCTTCTCTATAGAATGCAAGCTCTGTGAAGACAGGATTTTTCTCTGTTGTTCACTACCATACCTCTAGCACCTAAACAGTACACTAGTACATGTCAGGTACTCAGTAAACATTGACTGAATGATGACTGAAGGGTCCTCCTGTAGGTACTTAGTCTCATTCAATTCAAACAAACCAGGATTGCTTTTCTTTTTCTTTTTGACTAAGCGATGGTAAGTGAAACAATTTCCAGTATAACTGCAGAGTAGTCATTAGAGGTCAATAAACTTTGGTACCAGTGTATCAACATTTTCAAGTTAATTGGGCATTTCAAAAGGACAAACTATAAAGGATGTGCTAATTCCATTTTTAAATTTAATACTTTGGAGAAACTACTATGTAACAAGCACTGTTAACAAATAAAAGATGAATGTGACATGGTGCTGAACTGAGTAGCTCACAGCCTAGAGGGGAGCAACTCCATTCCTCAAATCCATGCCAACTCACAGAGGTCCATCTTCAGCTTTAACTCTTAAAAAGACCCTTTCTTATACACTAACTCCTTTAACGCTCATAAAACTCGTTTTAATATTAACTCTCGCTTTACAGAAGTGGAAATGGAAGATCTGCAAAATCAATGCCTTGAAAAAAATTCAATCACAGTCCAATTAACTGCCTTGCAAAAATCCAATCCAAAGTCCTCCGAATCCAAATGGCATGCTTTTCTCTCATTTATTCATTCACTTATTCAACAAATATTTACCAAGCAATCGCTATGTTCTAGGCGCTGGAAATGCGACAGTAACCGAGGCTCAGACCAAACTCACTCCAGTCCTAACATGGTACCAAGCTGTTATCTGCTTTAGGACCCATAACAAATTATTTCACCTCCCTAAACCTCAGGTTTGTCATCTGTAAAACAGAGATAATGCCTACCTGGCATGAGGCACAGTGCCTGACGTTCGCGAATGGCAGAAATAACCACTAATACAACTCATCACAGAGGACTAAGAGTGAACAGTGCTTCCGTTTAGAATAAAAATGAGGCCCAAGACAGTTAAGTCGCCCCCAAGAAGGCCACCCTCTGCCAGCCCCTGCCAGCCTCCGACTCCGCGGACTTGGGGACCTCTGCACGCGCCCAGGCACTTCGTTGGCCACACTCGTCCTCTACCCGCAGACGTCGGACCCGTGCCCCTTTTCCGATGCCCAAAGGATTCCCCCAGCAGCTCTCAGGCAGAGACGCACACACACCCCCAGCCCCCCGCCTCCCCGAAGGCCAGACAGGAGGAGCCGCCCAACGGTCCAGGCCAGGAAGACCACTGCCTTTGCCCGCTGGGAAAGTAGGACTGGGCGGGGTCGCCCCGGTGCCACTACTCCTCACTCAGTATTCACCTCACTGTAGAAGGTCATAAATGCTTCCTCGGTGCTCCCTCCGCCAGCCGAAGCCCCGCTCTCTCCAGGAGCCGCCATTTCCCCGGCCCAGCAACCACGTGACTCCCCTGCGCAGGCGCAGCCTCCTGTGATTCTTACAAGCCCGCCTCTCTAGCCCCGCCCCCTTCCTTGTGACTCTTAAAGGGTTCGTAGCCCAGCCAGACACCTCTAATTGAGGTGAGATATACATAACATATAATTAAAATGGATAATTCAGTGTTTCTTAGTACACTCATAATATTGTGCAACCACCAACCTCTGTCTAGTTCCAAAACAGTTTCATCACCCCGAAAGGATATCTGGCACCTATGGAGTATTTCCTCCCCATTCTCCCCTTCTACTCAACCCCTTACAACAACCAATCTGTGTTCTGCCTCTATGGATTTACCTATTCTGGACATCTCATAATGCAATCACACAATATGTGACCTTCTGTGTCTGCCTTCTTTCACTGAGCATAACGTTTTCAAGTTTCATCCAAGGTATAGCATGTGTCATTCTTTTTTTTTTTTTTTTAAGATTTTTTATTTATTTGACAGAGAGAGAGATAGCGACAGCAGGAACATAAAAAGGCGGAGTGGGAGAGGGAGAAGTAGGCTTCCCGCCGAGCAGGGAGCTGATGCGGGGCTCGATCCCAGGACCCTGGGATTATGACCTGAGCCGAAGGCAGACGCTTGACTGAGCCATCCAGGCACCCCTATTTCATTATTTTTTATGTCTGAATGTTATTCTGCTGTATAAATATACCACAATTTGTTTTCATTCATCAAATGATAAACATTTGGATTGTTTCCATCTTCTAGCTATTGTGAAATGATGCTGCTATGAACATGTGTGTACATGTATTTGAGTAC